ATGTTTTATGCAGCTAATCATTTTATAAAATGGTGCCTTAAAAAATATGGAGCACCTTTTATAGAGCCAATTATGTTTTATGCAGCTAATCGTTTTATAAAATGGTGCCTTTAAAAAACATGGAGCGCTTTTTATGAAGCCAATTATGTTTTATGCAGCTAATCATTTTAGAAAATGATTAGCTGCATAAAAAAGGCTTCATGAAAAGCGCTCCATATCTCTTAAGGCACTATTTTATAAAAAAAACAGTTGCTGAATATTGGCGGTAATGGCACCCCCATACTGCGAGCTATGTAATAAAAAGTGATATTTAGTTCTCATTAACCGAGCGGGAGGTCTGAATGGGAGAATCTTGGCCGAGGTCGCCAGTACAGACCGAACGCAGTGAGGTCTGTACCAGCGACCGAGGTCAAGATTTTCCCATACAGACCGACCCAGCTCGGTTAATAAGATGTTTATTATATGGCTGTGTCATATGCCAATTTTTTATATTCTTCGTACCTTCTTTTTCTAGACCGGTCTAGATGCCGGTCTAGATGGGAAAATCTAGACCGCTTTCAATATTGATTTCAGCCAATCAAATTTGTGAGTTTGGTAGTTCCCAATCCTTGTGAGACACAGCCATATAATAATGTTTCATAATACTACAAACACATGTATGAAATATATCAGTTGATGTACGCACATGTTACTAGGAATAAATTGAGATTACGGTTTAGTTGGTTCTGTTGACCAGGAAGACGTACCGAAACTCATAGCTCTGAAAATTGTTAATTAGTCCAGCTGAAAACTTTTGTGTTCCTTGATTTCTTTAGCGCTTTGTTTAAGTTACTCCAGTCGTTCATGGATCTAGTCCTAAAAGTTAAGACGTTATAGATGGAACAACCTAGAGTTCACTGAAACGTGGACCTGGTCAGTTTTTGTTTCTCTGTTTGTTTCTTTATTTCTTGCGAGGTAATCAAGGTAAAATATTTCACATGAATCGAGCTAAGTCAGTATCAGCCCGATAAACAGGACGATATGTCCCAAATGATAAGAAGCAAACAGGCATTAAGTAACACACAAAAACAGGTATTCATTTAAAGATTTTCATCGTTATGATTAGTGAGTACATTGCCCTATGTTCGACAAACGGAGTATCTTTGATAGCAAACTGAACTTTGTGTCCGGCTTTACTTTTCAGTAATAACATCAAACGTCCTTCTCAGCGGTCAGTTAGAGACACATACTACTGACCAAGCCAAGACAATATTTGACGTGAATACAATTTTTGTGGTCAGCATTGTAAAGGCCGTTCTTCCAATGATGAAGAAGCAGCGAGATGGTCGACTCATTATTGTGAGTAATCAAGCGGGAGTGCTTGGTATCCCTTTCCATGGTATCTACTGTGCTTCGAAATTTGCCCTTGAAGGGTTCATGGAAAGGATTGCTCCAGAATGTCTTGCATTCAATATCCGGTAAGTTGATAGGAGCTCTTTGGCTGGTAAGTTTATGGGAAGTAATTTTATATGCTTAACCCCAAATGCCTTAAATAGAGCAGAGCAGGGTTCAAAAGAGAGAAGAAGTAAAATTCTAAATTATATATGTCAAGAGGCTGACAGGGGATGACCCGGTATTTTAAAGTCACAGAAATAAGGTTGAAGAAACTCACTGTTGGCGTGTGTTTCGGCGAGGTACATAACAACGCTGAAAGTTGTTACTTGGGCTTTCCGAAGGAAACGCCCGAAGT